TGTGTGTATTTCGTTTTAAAAGTGTTTTTCTACCAAATTAAATTCGTTTACGAATGAATAGGGTTGGGGTTGTTAACTTAAAATGATCGGTGATAAAATTGGTAAAATGCATTTTGCTTAATGCAATGATAATAATTAAAAAGTTGACGCCTTTTCGTTTTTAACATATATAATGCCTATCATTCCAACTTCCCCCCCCCCCTCCCCCTCTCTTTTGTTGGTGAAATGACCCTGTTTGATCGTTTACACCTGATCATAAACCATTATTATTCCTATTAATATCTAAATTGCTGGAGTAATACCCCTCCCCCCCTATTATAGGTTGTCTACTTACACCATATTCCCCTACTTTTGCATATAATTATATATATATATATATCCAGATATATTTGTTAATACCTATTTATATATATAAATATGCATTCTTGCAGGGATACTGATATTAATGACCTCTTATAGAGAAAGTTTATGCATTTTTGAATTAAATCATGGTTTGATTGGTCTAATTTTTAGGAAGGTTATGTATTTTCTCTTAGTGAAATCAAATATTGCATCAAATAAAAATATAAAAAAACAGTAAACTTTTTGATTTATCTCATCTTTTTAGTTTTAAGTCTTTAAAGTTAATCATTATTTCCTCAAACATATTTTCTATTCAGAGGCCGAATTTAAAGAATATGAGGCGCAGCTTAAATTTAAGCCGCGGCTCAAATACCTCTGGTTCCACTAAAAATCGTATTTAATGTTTCAAGATTTAAGCCGGCGCTCAATTGAAACCGGTTTTTGGGGGATTTGAGACGCACTCAAATTCATTGAATTAGGACTCAGAATAGGGAAAACATTTCAACTTATATAGCGGATTTTCCAAAGGAATTGACTCTTTGCCACACACCCAATTTCTCTAATCCCTTTGTTTTTGCAACCTGATGGTTTAAACTTTTTTCATACTTTCATACTTTGAAATATCTAAGGTTTACAGTAATGGGTTGCAAAGAAATAAGGATTAGAAAACCAGAGTTTATGACAAAGACTCACTTTCTTTCCATATTGTTTGATAGTTGGGAACCCCTGAACATATGGATTCATAATACAACATATTAATTGTATTGGAGGGACCATTAAATAGTTGGGAACCCCTGAACATATGGATTCATAATAGAACATATTAATTGTATTGGATGGACCATTAAAAGCCTATTAAACAATCGTAAATACATAATTTAGAAATTCAGATCGTAAATTAATTATAACGTTTATTGGCACAGAAAACTCAGGCCGTACTGGCTTGTAAGTCGTAGGCAGCTTATACAAGTATAGTTTGATCTTTTGAAAAAGTATCAAGTAAAGGGATGAAAATCCACCAACAAATCATCAGAATCATTGGATTTGTTCAAGATTAGATAAGTTTTTTATATCTGCAAAGAGTTTCGACACTTTATTTAAAATAGACCATGCCAACCATAGACAAAGTATTTAATAATTTTAAAAAAAGGAATGTCAAAGATCTAGAACATCGCAGAGCAAAGAGGGATTAGAAAATCAGAGTTTGTGGCAAAATCTCCACTCCTTATTTGTAATTTTAAAAGTGGCTTTGTTAATCCAACATAGAACAGAATTATGTTTTTTTTTGGCTTTGAAGGATAAGATGAGCACATAAAAATCTATTACCTCATTTTTTTTATTATCTACACATTTGGACAATTTTAGATCCATAAGACCATTGTGTACAGCATGCGTTTACTTTGTTACATTTACTAAAATTTATACTGTAGTAAACAGTGTACAGTATACATTTGATACTTGGCCTTGAGGTCCTGGAAAGGTGTGGAAGATGAAGATGCTAAATTCATGATCAGGCTTCTGATGGAGATCATGATGTTTGTGGAAGTTTCTGCAAAATATGATCAAATTTGGTACAGGATTGAGTGATCTGAGTATTTGGGAACGTGGTTCTGCGTAAAGGAACTAGAGATTGGGTCCTTGGAGCTTGAGGGCAACCTTGGTGACATACTCGGTCACTTCTTCAGTCATGATGACGCAGTAGAAGTATCAAGATAATCTGTTTAGAACTTTATCACTGAATGTTCAAAGCCAGGGTCAACAATAAAGAAGTCATGAGGACGGCCTTTAATCAAAAGATATATAACTTTTCAATATATATGTACATCAGAACAGAAAACTTGAATAGTCTTCTTAATCACATGAGTCGAATATATCTCCAGTACTCTGGTTTGGTTTGGACATATCTGAGGCCGTACTTGTGGAATTGTCGTCTTCAACAATATCGATATCAAACAAAACAACTTTGAAATACTAGGGAAAGTGTGCTTTTAATTTACTCTTAGTCTTAAAAATGTAGATTTGTTTAAGATGTCAAAATAAAAATAATCTGTAATGCTTTCTTGAGTTTTCAAAATCAACCTACCCAGAGACAAAAGAAATAGTTTTGAAAAATAAGTCAATAAAGTAGTGTTAAAATCAATTAAAATTTTTATTCAAATTTTTAAAGAATTTCTGAATAAATGTAGATATTCTTTCTTAGAGTTGACAAATATTAAGAATAGTTTTTCCTTTTTAATTACATATTTCCTGAATTTCTAACTTGAATATGAAAAATTGAATAATCAGCCCTTCACAGTCCACAGTCCACACCTCCATTATACATGAGTTGTTTGTTAAAACATTCAAATTCATAATTAGGTTTATGTTTTTTGTCAGACTTAAAGTTATAAATTTAAAATAGCCACCCTATAGAGCTAAGGAATTATCAGTCAAGGAATCCATTTAAATCTGAGTATGCAGGCAGCCCCTCTACCCCTTCCCTCTTTTGATTTTGATATTTTAAACTTTGAGACCTCGTAGTTAATCTTAGTTTTGATTTAAATCCAGAGCTACAGAATCTTTTGTATTGTGGATTTAGAGATAAATGCTGAAAGGGAGTGACCGGCTATGTAAGGTAATTGAACTGAGTATGCAGTGTTGTCGAAAACATCTTTAGGATTCATTTGAGACATATTTCACTTTTTAAAGATCTGTAAATCCTGAGTTTGAGCGCAAATTCGACGTTCAAAACTCCTGATTTGGGGGTGGATACGCTTTCAGAATTAGTTTTTTTTAAATCATTAAATAATGACAACGAAAAAAAAGTAAAAATTTTACAGTAATCTAATTAGATGGCTAGGAACATATTTCACAAAAGAAATTTGTCAATAAATCAATGCTAAAATCGATGTTTTCGTTTTCATTATTATATTGAATTTCTAATTTTCTTTGAATTTATTCGCAGATTTCTTCAAATTCTTTAAATGTTGTCTTTTCAATAATAATTATAGAAAAACTGTGAACATCTTTGTGAATAACGAGAAACTAGAATAATGAGATAATAGAAACTAATAAATGAACAAGATTACTTATTTTCGATGATAAGATTAATTTCTATTTTCTCAAAATATATCTAAACATGACGTCTGTAGTTTATTGTAGAATATTTTTACATTTTATGTCGTCGTTAATTAATAATTTTAAAAATACTAATTCTGAAAGCGTATCCACCCCAAATCAGGAGTTTTGAACGTAGAATTTGCGCTCAAAATCAGGATTTACAGACTTTTAAAAGTGAAATATGTCTCAAATGAATCCTAAAGAAGTTTTCCACAACACTGCATCCTCAGTTCAACTTCCTTACATAGCCGGTCACTCCCTTTATTCTTGATCTTTTGTTAATCTGCAGATGAACAAAGTTCTAAGTACACAGTGACTAGTTTATGTTTCCAGTTTTGGAGAATGATTTTTGAAAAGCAGCTAATCTAGTGTTTATGTCAGGTTTACAAGACTCTTATATCTTCTTGATAAAATTGTAAATTCAACTTCTTGAACCTGTTTAGCTTTAATAACACAACTACCAACAGACCTAAGAATCAAAGAAATTCATTTACATATGCATATCTGAACATTTTTCTTCTTAGACTTTCTAAAACCTTTATAGAGTGAACTCATGAGGGGTTGCGGCAATTACAGCCCTTAGATTTTAGACAGCTTTTATAGACCCTAAAAAGTTAATCTTATTTGAAAGTGGGCCTTTTTTGGAAATACCGTGAAATATACTCACCGTAATCAAATTATATATTCATTATTTCAATATTTTAACAGAGAGATTTACTAACATTCAACATAGTTTTACGCCAAACGGAAGCATCAGCCGGATTTCAAAATGTTGCGACCCCACCTTCTAATATCAAAAACTGTAAGCTACAGGACCTTTTTGAGTCATTTTGAAAGATTATTAGTGCTGGCTAATCTGGTTTTTTGGGGGTTTTATAATACACAATTCTAATATTAATTGCGAAAATACAATTTTAATAATGTCAGGCACAGTAAAAATATCAAGTAATATCTCTTAATAAAAAAAATTGAATAAGAAATATTAGAAGAAAAAATTCTTTGTTTTAATTGTTTGTTATACTAAAAAGTAAGTTTTGTGCTTTCCTCGTTAGTGAAAGTTTTAAAAAGAGCATTAAGGAAAATTCTAATGGTTAAAAGAGCGGAAAATCTACCTCATCTTAAAATTTTTAACCTTGAATTGATAGCTTTATAATTATATTAGTTTAAGAACCTGCAGCTTTGCATACAAATTCAAATGTTCCCTATAAAAATGGACCAACTCAACTAGAATTTTGAAACCAAGCTAAGAACTTTGAGGCAAATCGGTCAAGGGGTTCCAGAGTTATGGTCGGACATTCAAACAGAATACATATAAATATGTTATTTGACTTCTTATTTTTAGTATGAAAAATGGGTTGAAAGTGGCACGAATCTGTCAGCTTACTATAAAAAGATAAATATAAACAAGTCTTATCAAATCATCAACACAAAAGAGGAGAATGTTTTCGGCGCTGGTTCCTATACAAGACAGCAAAAATGATTTAACAAGTTGCTGCATCAAAAATATGAATATCACGAAATAAATTTAAATTTAATTTATTATTATTTATTTCAGCAAAAATGTTCTACAGCGCAGTTAAACAAGAGATTTTATGCTTACTTGTTCTCTCAAGCTTGAGTGGTGAGTTCTTTAAAAGGATTTCTAACGTAATTTCAAACAGTCTCCATTAAAGGAGTGATTCACAAATACCACTTAATTCTCAGTTTGAACTGTGGTCGTAAAGGGTAAAAATAAGAATTGTTTTAGACACATCCATGTCTATCTATCTATTAAAAATCTGGCTTGTCCATATGTTTGTATTAGTACGATCGACTAAACCGATTGAGCCCAAATATTTTGTGGAAACTCATATGACCCAAGAGAGGGTTTATTGATGGCCGTATTTGACAAATTATACCTGGAAAAATGTCGACATTTTTATTTTTGCAAATCCATTTAAATAGAAAACATGATAAAACTAGCGGTTTATGAGAACAAGATGGTCGGCTTAAAAATCAACGGTTAAAAGCTATAATTTGTAGTAGAATAGATTTGCCCAAATTTTATGTGGTATCTCACGTGACACTAGGGCATGTGTATGACTGATCAAAATTGTGGATTTTTGACAAGAACAAATTTCGATATTAGTTTAACAATAAACAACAATGTCGATTTGAAAAAAAAACTTTTTAAAAAGAAGACTGCCCTGAAGGCATAGTTTTAAAAGAATTATTATTGTAATTACATTGATATTTCCTTGGAATAAAATTAAAAAATTTAATACCATTTTATACGATTTCATTTTAATCACATATTTTATTTCCGCAAAATTTAAACTAAATAACCTCGAGCGTAATTGGAATCTACCAGGTTAAATTGTTGTAAAATATTTTATAATTCAACTATTCAATTTAATAGACTTTTCTAGGTCAATACATTTAAAAGAATTGCATGCTTAAATGTACAATGTACAATAAAAAAACCTTACAAAAACAATTCTAGAACCTTTTGGAGCTTCAATGAATTTTGTAATGTTATATTATTAAATGTTCTGAAATTCTATTTATTCAATTAAGCATATATCCATATTTATATATTTAAAGAATCGGCTTCAAATTAAAATATTTTAATATATTTCAGGATCTTACTATACATGATGTTTTATGCCTTGCCTATATATATATTATTTTTAACTCTTTTCAGTTTAACAAAATTTACATTTTAGATGTTTAAATATTTATTTTCCAAGGCAAAAATTCAATAAAATGTGAAGTTTAAAAACTGAAATATATACTATGTATGTATAAAATCGAATTAATGTTTAAATTATTCAAAAAGACAAGCTGTAAGTTAAAGTTTACAAGCTATTTTCACGAGAATATGAAAAATGTATCCAACGTTGTTTCAATGATATATATTCTCCACAAACAGTTAAGTTTGAATAAAAATGTGTAAAAATTTGATATTTGTTTAAATGAAAACTATTATTCCTGTAACTGGAAACTAGTATTACATGTAAACTTTGACATTTTAGAGTTCTCAAGACATTTAGTTTAGAAAATGTCAATTCAGCATTTCTGCCGAATCAATCCATCAATCAAAAATATATATTTTAGAACTGCAGAGCCTGTCTAAGATAGCTATGAGAATTCCAACCTTTGTGCAGAGTGGAGAGAGCGCAGATTTGACCTGCAGCTACTACCTGGACAGCAACTCGTTATACAGTATCAAGTGGTACAAGGTATGTAGACTGTAGATTTTTTTGTACTAGATATGTACTGTCTGTAGATTGTAGAACATATACTGTACAAAAAGCTCCGAAACTCGTGTCTAATTTAGTACCAGTTTCATGTGCTGGGCTTTCAATATGGTTACAAACCACTTTGATAAAATACTATCCTGGGCTTTATCTCACTTCAAACCGGAGTTTCTGAGAATTTATTTTTTATAATTTTAAACAGTATAGATTACTATCATGGAGACCCAACAGCTTCTATACTGATTCAAAAATCCAAGAGTGTATATACAAGAAGGGTATCTTCACAATATTGCCGGGACAGTAGGCCAAATTAAACACACATTGCAATATGTACTTTTGACAATAATCTTGCGAGAAGTAAATAATTTGTTGTTGTACTGTGATGCCGTCTATAATCTGCATTAGATACTGTACAATTAATTCTTGCCTTAATTAAAAGGCAGTCCCGTACTTTAAATAATACAGAGTTTTCAGTAAATCTATTGCACATTTGCCTCAAGGAATTCAGTTTTTGCCACACATTCAAATTTTCTAATCATTATATCTTTACAAACTGATGAAGCAAACCTTTGAAAATTAGAATTAAAATCATTTATCTAAAAGAGTTTATTCATCAAAAACCTAAGGTTTACGATTTTTGGTTTAAAAAAGAGAGATTAAAAATCAGAGTTAGTGACAAAGACTCAATTCCTTTGGGTTTACTGTATTGCTTCCTGTATGGAAGCTATAGATTGCAAAAAAATAAATTATTCATGAGGGTTTCCTCAATTTTATTCTATAATATTGCTGTGTAAGGTTTTAACTGTGCATGAAATGTTTTTACTTTATTTTATTAAAAAATGTTTGATAAAATTAACATAAAAGAATTAAATGTTTAAAAGATGTCTGGTTCAAGTTGATGCAACTTTTTGTTGTTTATTTCTGCATTGTGTTTTTTGCAAAACTGAATCTAGGAAAATAAATTACCAAATGTTTTTTACTTCTGCAAAATAGTTCTTCATTTTGAATTTAAATAAAGGGAAAATCTTTTCCAAAGGAGATTTTAAGCTTTAAACAACCACATTAAAAACAAAACCCACAAAGCATTTCAAATTCAAATCCATTACTTCCATTATAAAACCTGTTATTTTTCATCAAAACTCTAGGAATTTTATTTATTTCACTCAGAGAGAAAGAAAAAAAGAATGGTTGGAATGCATGCATTCTTCTAAATATTATAATAGATTAAAATAAAATTGCAAAAATAAAAACCATGTTGAAAATATAAATTAAGTTTACAACTACAGTATAGTGTTGGATTGGTTGGTCTGTGTTTGTAATTATTTAAGGAATGCAGAAACTTTACATCAATTATTTTCCTAATAACTGGTATCTTCACTCTTTCGACTGGGATCTCTTCATCAACTTATGTCACAATGAAAACTTAAACTAAATTAAACTAAAGGAAATAAGTCTTTGACACCAATTCAAATTTTCTAATTCCTATATCTTTGTGAGCCTTTGATATTTTTAACTTGAATTATTTGATCTAAGAGAATCTATAGTTTGAAACATCTAAGGTACAAGACATTTGGTTGCAAATATATAGGAATTAGAAGATCAGAGTTTGTAGCAAAGACTCAATTCATTTTAACTAAATTCCAAAACATTTTGTATTTCAAAGTTTTTATTCTGAAAAAAATGCGTGATGTTAAACTTTACCAAACTTTAGAAAATAAAGAATCAACTTTCACTTTCTGCTATTTTTTTCCTACTAGTTTTGGAACCCCGCTTTGCCTAGAAATTTAGTAGTTTTTATAGGATTTAGTTTATTTAACTTAGACCTTTTAAATCAAGCAACGAACATTCCCGTGGTTCTACCAAAGTCACTAATCAAAATATAAGAGGCAAATTAGTTAAAGGGTTCATATTTTTAAATTATGATAAAAAACAAGCAGAGATTACTACTTTATATATAGATGAAACTGAAATAATTAAAAAATCTTACAAGTGGCCCAATTAAACGTGAGAAAAACTCAAGAAAATTGTCTGTGTACGTCGAAACATATAAAATGATAAAAAAAATTCTGAAGTGTATCACTACTTTCTTTGTATCTAAATGCAATTGGATGTTGAGATATTTGTGGTTTATATGAAAGATTAAAATCCAAAAAATTTTCTTGGGAATATTTAATTTTGATTGCGCAAATATTTTTAAATATTCATGCTTGTAAAATTAAGCTCATTTTAAAAAGGTTATCGACAAATCTGACATTTATGACGAAATTAAATCACATATTTTGACTGTTTTGTTTTATTGCTTATTTGTGCCTAGAAAACGTAAACCGCTGATCCGACCAGACCCAATTTTTGTAATGCAAATTTACGGTTTTATTTAATTCCCCTTCGATGGCCCGTGATAGTCATACCCTGCAGATAAAAGTTGAATTGAGGGATTTCTAGAAATAAATATTAGAACCACATTTTGATAAATGGAAGGACCAAGCTTCTCTTATTGTTACCCTATCTATATCCTTATTTAAGTGAACAATCTCTTGAGATGAATTCCTGGCAATATCTAGATAATGTGATTGCAGCCTTGTGAGGCCGATGATAGAATTCCCTAGGTCAAATTTAAGCAAGGAAATTCAATCTGGTATCACAGAAACATATATGGACTGTCTAGTAAGTTCTAGTAAGTTTTAGTAAGTTCTAGTAAGTATAAGTAAGTTCTAGTAAGTTTTATTAAGTTTTAGTAAGTTCTAGTAAGTTCTAGTAAGTTCTAGTAAGTTCGAGTAAGTTCGAGTAAGTTCTAGTAAGTTTGAGTAAGTTCTTGTAAGTTCTAGTAAGTTCTAGTAAGTTCTAGTAAGTTCTAGTAAGTTCTAGTAAGTTCTAGTAAGTTCTAGTAAGTTCTAGTAAGTTCTAGTAAGTTCTAGTAAGTTCTAGTAAGTTCTAGTAAGTTCTAGTAAGTTCTAGTAAGTTCTAGTAAGTTTTAGTAAGTTCTAGTAAGTTCTAGTAAGTTCTAGTAAGCTCTGTAGTAAATTATGAGATTAATAGGATAGGTCAAACTTGATTTTTGTGATCTTAAAAATGAAAATTTCCCGTAAATATAAAAAATCCACATATTTTAATATTTTCAATAAAAAGAAAGAATCAATACGACTAGAGACTGTTTTCTCCCTGTCTTGCATAATTGCAGTGTATGCCAATCCTTGGAATATTTTCTCGGTAAAGTTTTCTTCATTTCGTCAATTTTACCGATAATTGAACTATTTAATTTAGAACTAGTTTTCTATCAAATTTCCGATTATATTGAATTAAGAGCTTACTTAGTTTAAAATTATAAATGATTTAGCTGTCTGTTTAAGAGTAGATGGTAGACTGTAGACCATGGATATCTGTCTGTTGGAGAATAGACTGTAGACAGTAGATATCTGTCTGTTGAAGAGTAGACTGTAGACTGTAGAAGATATCTGTCTGTTTGAGAGTAGACTGCAACTGTATATATGTGTCTGTTTGAGAGTAGACTACAACTGTAGATATCTGTCTGTTTGAGAGTGGACTGCAACTGTATATATGTGTCTGCTTAAGACTAGACTGCAACTGTAGATATGTGTCTGTTTGAGAGTAGACTGCAACTGTATATATGTGTATAAATTTGAAAAGAAAATAACTCCATGGATTTGTAATCAAAGTGAAGGAATTTTTATCAAAAATAAATTAAATACTGATAAAGAAGGTAATTGTTTTTTTCATTAAGTTAAAACAAAAATCTATATCAGTTTATTAGTGCACTTGGTTGTAATTAAAGATGAATTAAATCGGTTTTTAGATAAAGACCAAGAACGCAATGTAATTATAATAAAAGCAGGGGTCCATATAATTCCCAAAATAGCTGATTTTCTCCATCCCAAAATAATGTTTTGCCCCCAACTTTAAGAAAATGCCCCCAATTGTATAAAAAATGCCCCCAAATAGAAAAACATTTTCAAATTCCACTAACACATTTGTCCCAATTGCCGCCAATTTGAAAAAATACCCCCTTTAAAAAAACATTTTAAATTCCACTAACACATTTGCCCCCATTGCCCCCAATTTAAAAAAATGCCCCCAATTAAAATTTTTTTTTTCAAAATCCACTCACACATTTGCCCCAATTTTCCCCATTTGCCCCCAATTTAAAAAAAAATACCCCCAATTAAAATTTTTTTTCAAATTCCACTAACACATTTGGCCCCATTTGCCCCCAATTTAAAAAAAAATGCCCCCAATTAAAATAAAATTTCAAATTCCGCTAACATATTTGCCCCCAATTTAAAAAAAATGCCCCCCAATTAAAAAAAATGCCCCTAATTTTTGTTAAATTATCATTTAAACAAAATTTGCCCCCATTTAAAAAATTTGCCCCCATTTCTTTCAAATTTGTCAATCCCAAATGGGATTGAAAAAGGAATTATATGGACCCCAGAATAAAAGTAGTAATAATAATAAATATTCCTTAAATATCAGGGAGTTTTTGCAAAGAATGGGGTTTAAGTTTATATCTATTTGTAGTAAATGCTGTACTCGTAAAACTACTTCCAGACCCGTATCCAGGGAGAACTCGCCAGCTATCAATGTCAAAACGGACACAAGCTCTTGAGCGATCGATGCCAAACCAATATGGGCTCGATTTTATCAGCTCTTAATGTCAACACGGTCACAAGCTCATCTATCAATGTCAAAACGGACACAAGCTCTTAAGCGATCAATGCCGAACCAAAGGGCACAATCTCGTATGATTCAACAAGGGCCAAATTACTCTATCACCGTAATCAAAGTGGAATATCTTGCAACTAATTTATATTTTTAAATATCTATGTTACAATCAACTAATTGCATAAGATCAGTGCCAATATTTTACCTAATGATCTGATCTGTGAATCCCATATGTTTACTCACAGCTAGAGCATAAATTAATTTATTTGATTTAAAGAATTTTTACTTTAAAGTCAAATAGGTTT